CGCTCGGAGAGGCCAGATCCACATCATTGGGAGTTTCAAAGCTGTGGTCCTTAGCGGGCCGCGCGTATAAGTAACATTGGGCCATGGACGGGCACTCGTCCGCCGGACGGGAGCAATCAAAGTTTCGGATCTTTCTCTAATCAATTTCGAAGTCTTGCAAGGCAAGCAATCGACGAGGTATAGACTCCCGGTGTGGAATCGGTGATCCGTGTCTGATATATTTCACTTTGTCAATAATCAAACGAAATACCAAAATTACCCTAACGTTGATCACATTTACATGTATAGTCAATACAATTTTAGCAAGATGATCCAGTAGTGGTGACAATAAGCTTTAATTGATTGATTTTGGGGAGACGAAATTATTAAAAATTTCGCGAGACATTATTAACGATATAATAAAACGGCTGACTCACTTTCAATCAGTGTAACTAACAACTAGTCTCATAATTTTACCGTCGATTTTGACGAAGGTCTTCTAGTTTTTGAGTAATAATACAAGTTTAACCTATGATTGGGGCATAATCTTATTAAGTAATCATGACTTATCATTTTGAACAATTCGACGTGTATTTGAAGCTGTTCTTGGCACCACTCCTATCGGCTCGGTTCTAAGTCACCAAATATGTATTAAAATTTCACTAGATAATTAATTTCTCTATAAAAAAATACTGATTGATTACCTTAAAATACTACGTTTGCGTTTAATAATGAAAAGCGAGCCGACTAAGGTAACTTACACCCCACAAGGTGGCACGGCCTGTGACCAGTCGGCCGTAGATAACGCTAACCATTCACCGGGATTAATTAAATTCTACTCTGAGTTCACTCGGCGCTCGACCTGCCCAACCGCCGCCACTTGGAGATGCATTAGACGCCGCGGACGCAAGATTGTGTTCATCGATCTCCTTTGAAGTTGTTTGCAGCCTGCGCAACCTTAGAGATTTGAGACGTCCGCGGCGAGTGTAACGCCCGGTTTCTGAAACACTGATCATCGTAGATGTCAACTAATCAGCTGTCAAATGACTTTTCAAATGTTATTGAGTTATATGATATGCTCTGTGAATTGATCAGAATGATAATCATTGATATCATATGATATGCTCTGTGAATTGATCAGAATGATTATCATATTATATCAATGATTATCATTCTGATCAATTCACAGAGCTTTTGGCAACTCAAATAACATTTGAAAAGTCATTTGACAGCTGATTAGTTGACATCTACGATGATCAGTGTTTCAGAAACCGGGCGTAAGTGATTTCAACTGTGTGCGACATGTCTGTGAGTAACTAAGTTTAGTTATTGGAGGACTGTTATGGATAAAGGAAACTAACACAAAACCAATCAAGTTTCTACGAATAAGATTGTGTTATTATTGAATATATTAATTAAAATTTGTCAACACATTATCGTCGTGGGTTCGATTCCTACACGGGACAAGTATTTCTGTAAGTCAAAAATAATTGTTCTGGATCTGTGTGTTCGTTTTCCAAGGAGAGTCAACGTCAGGTACTCAGCCGGTCGTAAAAAAACCTAGCCAAAACCACTTACAATATTACACAGATGTGTTAACTAAGGGCAGGAGGATGATGATTGTCAATACGTTACGTTGTATTCTGATGTTTTACAAACTGTGTTAAATAGCTAGATAATAAAAGTTGCAGCCGATTTAAAAGTAGACCTACCTAATTAAACGACGTTGCAAGGACTGAAGAAAATATCATTATTATAGAAATTAAATTTTGGTACTCACTAGTTTTCGCGAGTCTATATTTGCCCATACCTTTTTATCGTTTTGCCTCAGGACCACCCGTTCCTGAGAAAATCGGTGGTGACACACGGATAGACAGATGGATAAGACCGTGATCTTATAAGGATTCCTTTTTTACTTTTTAGGGTACGGAATCCTTAAAAAAGAAATAGAACTTTACTTTTACACTATTTTGTATAATAAGCGACTTGATCCATAAACGGAATAAAGCATTTAAATCTAACATACTATTATGTTAACTTTACTATTATGTTGTGATTAACGAATTAGTGTTCATTAGAATGTTTGTGTTCTAAATTCTGTCTGTGTCGGGCTCCGCACTAGCCTATGTATAATAAACGCCAAGAACTTCGTGTGTTTGTGCGCAAATTGGACTGCCGTGAAGTTCCCAACCACTTTCCGTCTAAACTCACTCGAACTGGCCATGCGTTTTATTTGCAAACTCTCCCCGCGTTATATGCTGACCAATTTCAATAATTTTAATTGTAGATCGGTAACCTATTTTAGTTTGTATCTTCGGGCTTAAAAAGATTTCACTCAGTCCATACAGTTAGAGGACCGTATTTATAAGCACGAACAAATAAAATGGATTAAAGGACAAATTAATCGATAATAGTATAGAAAAATCTTTACATTGATTTCACAGATTAAGCAAACTACAGTTTTGACTTGTCACAGTCTGTATATTTCGCGGTGTTATTTAAGCGGTAGTGCTGAAATGTGCTTATAATTAAGTATCTATATGACATTTATAAGCTTTGAAAAACAGATTCAAAGTAATTGGTAAGTCTCAAAGCGAAATATCCAAATTGAGTAATAAACGCAATGACGTAATATGTCCACTTTATCCGAGGGTTTTTTGCTCATGCTTCTGACGTGTGATGATAAAATTGTTTGAAATAAATGATTTTTATTATATTTTTTTCATACATTGCCCTTTCTTTATGACAATATTATTAATCTTGTGTTAAAAGGACGTTTGGCAAACATTAATTTCACGTGAACAAACACCCAGAAGTGAAACAACAACCTAAGCCAATACCTTGGCAACAGCGCCACGGAGTCATCAGATTATTATTTAATAATTATTAAGTTAAAATAAATTCAGCCTTAGCAACTAAACTAACATTTTAATTAGAATAACAAGTTAGTTGGATTCACAATTTATTAAAAAAGGTTAAAATGCATCTGCAACTGTACGGTTTTTGCAGATGACGATGGTTCATCACTTATCACCACCACTTTTTATGCCACCTTCTGACATATAAAGACACCAGAATCCATATTGCTTTACATTAATGCACAAAAACTAATACCGTTGGGTGTACAGGAGTGTATTGCAGTGATTAAGCAAGGCTTCGAAAGCATTTTAGGTGGTTCATAGAAGTTAAGTTAGCGAGTCGCATCGGTTTCGCACGGAAGCAATGTGAATATTGAATTTCTCCGCTTTACTCTACTACAATCTATGCAATGTATACTACATATAAACCTTCCTCTTGAATTACTCTATCTTTTGCTGAAAAGTGCATTAAAATCCGTTGCGTAATTTAAAAGGTCTAAGCGTACAAAAATCGGGAGCGAAATAGTTTTATACTATGTAAAGATTATACCGAGGCTGTTGATAAGGGCAGGTTCTTTTCTCGCTCAAAGGTTAAGCTTAACTATTAAACGAGAAAATGCAGCTAGCGTTCTTGGCAGTATGTCATGTTTTCTATGTAATTAAGTTAGATTTAACGTTTTAAATGTTGCATGTAACAATATGATAAAAAAAAAGTACGGGTAAATTTATCTTTTAGGAAAAAATTGACAATGATCAAAGAGTGTGTTGTTGAATGCGTCTTAGAGCGATGTCAAATATTTGCCCTCGGATTCGCCAATTTTGCTCCACGCTGAGTTCGGGGGCGCTGTCCACGCTCAGTTTACCTAAGGCGGGCGGGGGTTTAAACACCTCGTATAATTTCGTACAATTTGCCGACCGCTCGCCACTGCTGACCCCCAACTTAGCTCCAAGGAGTCCGACTTTACGTCCCGCACAATTTTATATACAGGCCGATCTATAAGCCATGTAAATAATGTAATGTTTTTTTTTTACGAGTAACAGTAGCCGTGGCTACTGTCAATTATTTTATTATTTACTAACTGAAGGCTTCGCTGTGGTTTTTTTTTTCATTTCCGTTGGAGGTTCTGAATGAAAAGTTTATAAAAACACCCTTCTCTTCAAAAGCTATGTTTTCTAAGCAAATATCAAGTAAATCCATTTGCTAATTTTTGAGTTTTGTGGTCACAAAAATACGAAAACCAAATTCTTATGTACAAAGATTGAAATGTGATCGTTAATCACTATTTTAATTTGCGAATTGATAGTAATCAATAAGTAATTTACTATTTATAATTTGAATTAATTAAGTATTAAGTAATTAATAATAATTAATTAAGTAACTTGAATTACTAATCAGGCTGAAAAATCTGTGAGGAAATTGCTATTTATAATCATGAAATCAGATTAGATTTAAAAAGTGTTTACGAAAATAGGTTAACACCCTGTGCAGCAGCGATCCCGTTAAGAACAGCGGCACATACGGCTCTTCAAACTTTACGCAAATAAGCGCCCCCCCGGCCCCGCTGCTTCCCCCACACCCCGCCGTGAAGGTCCGAGCGAGAACAATTTCTTAATAGCCCATAACTCGGCCTTAGCCGCTTACGTGCCCGAATTAGTGTCAACTTCGGAGTTCGCAACATCCCGGCTGTCCGAGGTGCCTTTAAGTTCTGTAAGTGCGGCTTCAACGCCGCATTGTACAACAGTTGGGTTTAGATCTCAAATTCGTTCACAATCAACCAAACTATGGGTAGAAGATGTCGCGTAATTGAAAACGACATTATAACGATATTATTGTTTACTACTCGTTGCAGTAGTTGTTAAAACAGCCGTAAGATTATTGTTGCGTAAAGTAGTAAGTAAGCCTATACATGTCCCACTGCTGGGCAGATGACTGCTGTGTAGAGAGGGTGTAAGGGCATAGTCCACCACGCGATCCAACTTTACAAGGTTACAACGGAAGCGAGGGCCCGACCATGAGTAGTGACTCATTGTCCGGCCTACGTAATTTTTTCCCATTCGAAGAAAGATTTAAAGAAGAAACACATGTGTCTTGTCTATTTAACGTCATGTTATATTTGGGTTCACAATGGAAAAATGAAACAATCATAACAATGTGCACATTTAATGGGAGCGAATGAATATACAGTACAATTAACGCGTCACGGTGAATCCTGTGATGTCTCAAGGAAAGGCAGGGGGCAGTTTGTCAAAGCGGCGGAAGTGGCCCACGAGGCCGCGACGCACGTCACTTCCGGCCACCCATCGCCGCCGGCCACGCGACACGTATCGCCAGTTTCCTGCCGAAATGAACGCCACGATCAAGATGATGTTTCCCTTGGTATGCAGTTATTTGAAGAAGCCTTCGACGATTTCAGGGCTTGTAGCATTTTAAGAATCATTTAATACAATAATTTTGCTGTTTTCGTATTGTTTCTAAAGTCCGCGCTTGAAGTATGTGATACACGTATAGCACATTTTAGGAAAGTTGATAGCGGCTGCTGTTTTTCATCATAATTTTAATTAGTTAGGAATTCGTGTGATTACGAAAAAATAAAAACATTGTAAATTTAAAGATTCGTAATCTGGGATCCAGAGAAGACTAGTTCCTTATAACTTTTATAAATTGTAGGTAGATGAGGAACTATTTCAGTTAAATATAATGTTGAAGCCTTTATAAATATATTTTATTTCAATTATAAAGGACAAATTGAATCTACATCAAGTAGTATGTGACTATACGATGTACGACGATGTATATGTGACACTACGGTAGAACAGTAACTGTGGTAGGACCATGCAGCAGCGTTCACTATTGCACGAATGGGCAGGTGCATCCAGGTAAGTACCACGACCTCACAGAAGACCGGCGTAAAGTAGAAGTGTTATACTTCTGCGTTTTGTTTTGTGAGTTTGCAACCCTACGGGTGTTGGTCAGGCCACTTTCTCACATAAAAAAACATTCAACATAAAAATACCTTGTTAAATTTTCCAAATAAGCTATGAACTGGTGTATATTTAATCCGATGTGGTATATGAGCGTTCACCTAAACATTTTATTTTTTATTTTATTTTATTTTATTTATTTGGTTTACCAGCAATTGTTACATTTATACATTCATTAGAATTAGTACACAGTATATTTCTATAGCTAAATGCACAATTAATTAAAGGTAAACACCACATGCGAAGTATCAAGTAACACCAATAAGCTTAACAATAACAAATGTGTACAGAATACAATTTAAAAAAAAAAAAAAAAAAAAAAAAAAGGTAGTGAAAAAGAGTTTTTTAAAAATTTTTTGAGACTTAATTAAAAATATATATGCTATACGACTAATCTACTCATCGACAATGGTTTCTTGCAAGTGCTTACGAAAGGTATTGAGACTAACAGCATGAATATCAGTTGATTTTCCGTAATTATTCAAAAGTCGGCTCGCTCTGGGGACAAACGAGCTTGAGCCCAATACTGTTGTGCGTAAAGGTGGAACCAATGGTTGGATTTGGGTTCTAGGTAGCTTATTCGGTACATTGAATCTAAATTGCGCAAGATGCCCTGTGGGCAACTCTTAATTGCCAGCGTCCAAAACTAGTCCCTCTTAGATCATTTCCTGAGACTAAGCACGAGGGCCACATACGCCTGCGGCATGTTTTGACACTTGCCGCCGCGCACGACATTCTAGCCTTTATCCGGTTTAAGATAAGGGCGATAACGGTAAGTCATGATTGGGGTTGTCGTGTGTCGCTGTAATTAGTCCGGGGAGGGCATGGGACAGGTCAAAGGGGCGGAAGCTGACCGCGCGGCTTGCGCACTTCCGGTGCGCCGCGACGTCTTCTGCCGGAACGGGCCGCTCCGTTTGGGGACAACGCTCCACGCCACACTTCTGTCAAAGGATTTTGGAGAAGGACAACTTTAATGCGGCCGCCACTGATGCAACGCGGCTGCTAAAGCTCCTTTCAAGAGCCTGAGTTTGCGACATCGTTATTCATTAGCACCCTATTCATATATGGTCTGTTAATTTTTTTGTGTAATTATCTCCCGTACGGGAATTGAAGTTCGAGTATCCAACTTATGGCGAATTCTTTGCTTTGTCTTGAAGGCTAATAAAGTAATGAGTATCATCTTCAGCGCACTCGGAGCAGGTGAGCCGGCGATGAGAGCGGAGGGCTCGCGCGCCACCGAGCAAAGGAACGAAAGAACATCAAAGCGGGCTCTTCAATTAGCCGACTAATTGGCTTGACCGCACGCCGTGATTTGTCCCCGCTCATTTAAAATGCTGCTTAAGTCTTCAAATTTTATTCTTGTCCAAGAGAAGGAAAACTTAAAATTTGTACAATGCTAATCTCTGCACTAAAGATAAAAATATTAGATTTTTATTTTTAAACTTTAATAAACAAATGCCTATCTTATTAATCTTTTAAATAGTCTTATTTTATGAAAGTATAAATTAGAATGTTTCTAATTTAAACAATGTCACATTCAACTGTTCACACAATGGCAGCTCCGTGAGCCGCTCAAAGTTTAAATTTATTCAGTGTCATTTTAGCGCTCACGCCGGTGGAAATTTATTACGGATTTATTATTTGGATTCAGACAAAAAGTTGGATGGGGTCTAACTTGTTCTAAAGTATCTGTCTAGAGTGCTTGTGCACTGGCGGGTTCAGACGATCTAATTTAAATTGGGGATCAGCGGTGCGACGCGGCTACCCCTTAGAACGCCGCAGATATCTATTTAAAAACTCTAATGCTAACGGGCTTACAGAGAACACAACTAATGTATCAAGAAGCATGTAATTCTGTACCATAAAGAACTGTTTACTTAATGAAACGAGCGCATAGAAAGAATTTTTAAAATTCATGCCATTGGAGATTAATTCACCTTCATCGAGAAAAAGCTTTTTTGTGATTGGTAATCCATTTTCAAAATTAAAAGGTAGATGGTTTTTCGTTTTTGTACAATTTTAATTAGCATCCCAATTACCATGATCATGATAGCTATTAATTTCGTTATTCTGATCCAAACTTAATTCAGTTCTTTTTGTCTGTTGTGCCAACTTACTTCCTTTGGGATTGATTGAACCAATAATTTCTTTGGGACAGTTTTTTTATTTATTTTTTATTTCGGAAAACTCACAGCATTTGAATGTCAGAAATTTAAAAGAAAATTACAATAAGTTTTCACTTAAAATGAATCACATACATAGTAGCCATGGGAGATTGCTAAAATTTATTAATCTTATCGAATGATGAAAACTATTATTTCCTAATGAATCTATTGCTATAACTTTTTTTGAATTGATGCTATTTGTATGTAACAAACCTTAATCAAACTCATCTATCGTAATCATGTGTATATGTATTAAAAATCTTTGCTATTACTTTAAAATTTTGATTAAAATAAATCTTCGAACGCTTATTGAAATTTTTCTTAAAAAGGTATGCTTGTAATTCTGCAACATCTGTCGTAGACGAAGATCATAAGAGAGCTTAGAAAAAATGAATATAAATCTCCTTCTTCCCAGCGACCTTTCATATTTCACGAAAACCGGCGGATCTGCGAGGGGGGCACATAAACACCATTAAAGCATTTCTATTAACCTGAGGGTCATTTCACTTTGTATACCTCTCCGGCACGTATGAATTATGCAATGGATTCCGCGGTCGACTCGAACAATTCTCAGCCTGTTTTGAATAAGTTCCTTTTGTTAAGGTAAGATTTCCTTGGGTTTGTATTGGATAATGCGAGATCGTATTTTATTAGAATAAAGTAAAAGTACCAGAAAACCACGTCTGATTTATGTTGTATAAAAAGATATCAATTTCGCAAGTTGTGTTTTTGTGAATATACCTGTTGTATATAATTATATTTATAATTATAAATAATATAATATTTTATACCTGTTGTATTAAACTTAATTTATGAAATTGATTGACATTTTGTTAACTATATTTGTATTGTTTAATAACATAAATTTGTATTGTTTAATACAAATTTAGTTTAGTAGACAACTTGTTAATATTGGCGAAGAAATTTCCTGTAAGAAACCATATTTTTCCAATTTATATTAATAACAAAAATCCTTAAGGAGGCCAGTAAAAACTTTTGTGCCTTAATAATGTTTCATAATTATTACACATTTAATAATGCTTATGTTTAATCGAACATTATACATTACTAAAGTAATTTTAATTTATCTCGTTTACGTTTAATTTTAATTCCAGACGTATCGAGTCACGATCGCGGGAGATCTGCTTTTTACAAAAATTTAATCATTAAGTTTTCCATTAAATACATTCCCAATTACATTCTGTTTATATGGTGAGTCGTCTCGTCCACGTACGACAATTATCGACACGTGTAACACAAAATACTCCATTGCACTCCGACAAACGAGTTCTTGAAAGGACATCGGCTCAGACTCTCGACCGTCTCTAATGAAACGGCCCTCAAAGTTAACAAGTCGGACAGTGGCCACTCCTGCGAAGCTAAGCAAAGACCGAGCAAACGGACATGTCGCGAAGTTTGTAGGTAAACAGTATCTTGAGGAGTTGCACGGGGCTGCCACGATGAGTTGACGATGTAATTGCGATGAAATTCTGTGGGCAGCGTTTCTAGTAACATACTACATAGCATATCAAATATTGTTGTAATCTATACAGCTTTATCTTCCGTTTAAGCTTTAAAATAGCGCGAGTGTTGAGATATTGAATATAACGGACTATAATAGAGTTTGAAATGAATAATCTTAACGGTTAGACAAATGGGATGAATCTACTTCATCTAATTTATAGATAGTAAAACCTAGTCTTATCTGACACTAGTGCCACTGGTTATTCTTTATCAATTCTATTAAAAGAAATTAAAAAAAGGAAAAAAAAAGAAAAAAAATCCGGAAGGAAAGGAAAAAAATGCAAATACTTTACAAACATCACAAACCCAAAGTGTAATGATCTCATAATAATAAATGGTCCATTGATGAATTATTATTATCATCAAAATTAGTACTGATGTTGTATATTGTGGACAGTACATTAAATTGCCCATTCATAGTGTAGAAATTATAATTATTGATGTTAGAAGCATTTACCAAGTAGGTAACTATCGACCAAGCGTTCAGTAATCCAAACAACAAATAGGTTAATGCCGACCGGTTGGTTTTAAACAAACATCAAAGCAGCCCAAGACGCAACGGACGATTTACATGTTGTAATTTTAATTAGGATTCCGTGGACCGCAGCCCGACGCAGCTGGTAAGGGTCCACAATGGGCCTACGGGACCCTTGCGAATAGTTTTACCTAATGTTAATTTAATCCAAGACGGACAATTCGAGGAAAAGTTTAGAGCCGGCATCTTGTATTGTGTGCTTCTGCATGTTCATAGTAGGAGACTCATCTCAAACGACAGAAACGCAAAAATTGTATGTTCTTTTACATTTTTTAACTAGGTGCTTTAAAAGAACTGTTCAACCGTATTTCATTTGATAGTCATATTATGTTGATCTATAGGTATTTGAAATTAAATGTGTGTTTAACGTTCCATGTATTTAGTTACTTTCTTGCGGTCAAAAAATAAAATGGAATCCAAGAGCAGTCTTTTGAAATAAATTTTTATTATTCAATTCATTCTCCAAAGCATCGCATCCCTTGAAGTCTGGACTAATAAATTGATATTGCATGTGAAAACGTATATCTATATTTTAAAACAGTAACAGGAAAGAAAGAAAATATATTTATTTATTGGCAAAAAATTTAAAGTAACACAGAATACAGTAAAAAGAAATGCAATAGAAAATTTAAATTTAAACCTATGCTGTAACATAAAAACCAAAACGAAAGTAAAAGAAAATTTAAACGAATTGTTTTTTACTCTCTACTGTGTGATTTAATCGCAGCCTTAAAACCGTATTTTACAAAATAAGAGGCGCAGGCGGTGGCTTATTGTGAACGCTCCCTGGTCACCGCCACGTGTTAAGCTGCCAGTGTATAATTAAGGCGAATAATTCACGGCCTCCACTTAACCGGACTTTTGACCGCCCCCGAGGAGGGGTGGTGCCTTTCGAACCTGTCGCCACCGTCTTACGAACTTGCTCAAACAGCGGCACAATTTCCAGAGTCATTCGTGAAACGTGCTTTCAAACATTATCCTATAGATATAGAATACTGTGTAACATGTGCGTATTTAATTGACTTTGAACTCTGTTCACTTCTAGACGTAATGAAATGTTTTGGATCCAGGTTATGTTTTTTTATTACAATTTTCGCTTCAGTCACCTTACTCTTGTTACATTTTTAATCTGATAATAAAGGTTAGATGCATTACCTTTTTGCGATATAAAATGTATAAACCTATTTACATATTTTTACCTATTTGTCCCGTGAACTTTGGGCATTCTTAGAGATAAACTGCCACCAATATCTCAGCTCCATCAGTGGATTAAGTCAGATTTTTGCATAACAGTAAAGTTACATTACGATTTTATGGTAGACCGCAAAAGCGTTACGATGTATAAAGAAGACAAATTTAAAAAAGAGACGACACGCGAAATATGTTTATAAGAAGCAACGTGCTTTGATTTATAACGATCCGCGGAGGACACGGGGTGAACGCAGGCGAGTGGATTTTGTGACAAGCAGTAGCGATTTAATATATCGAATGTAACTTCATCAAAATTTAGGTAAACTGTGGTAGCAACAGTTCGATGTTGCATGAATGGATAGGTCCATCCGTGGAAGTACCATGACCTCGCAGAAGACTGGCCTCAAGTGGAAGTGTTTTACTTCTGCGTTTCGTCTAGTGAGGAATTGGAAGTGTTATACTTCTGCCTTTTGTCAGGTGAGGAGGTATATGGGCCGAGGGGCCCACTTTATTGAAAGGTGGCTACGCATCTGCAACCCTACGGGTGTTGCCAATGTCCATGGGCGGCGGTTTTCACTTAACTACAGTGGAACCACCAGCTCGCTTGTCACCTATTCACGTAAACAAAATGCAGGAATGAAGGACCTATGTATATTAATATAATTACCATCAATATAGATGATAACTTATTGAAAGGTCGACCATGAATTATTACAGTTAGTTACCATTTATTACTAGTAGTAAGTTCAACCCCTTTTCTCAGATAAGCGGTAACTCACATATTGGTAGAGTAACAGCAAAAGGATTTATCACACTGTGAAGATTTTTTTTTATTTAAGACACACCAACAGTATACATACAGGATTGGTCAAAAGGAGATATTATGTCTTGCGCCTTCGTTTAAAGCCAATTCCCCGCTTTCAGTTGTAAACTTGCACCGACGACTGAATGTTTCGGGTCACAAAACTGCAAGATTTATTCCCGGGCCGGCTTCAAACTCATTAGGCGCAAAACTCGCGGGATCACACGCTGTATCCTCTTCGTTTTCGCGCTTTAAAAATACCGTCTAAAAGGCTTACAGCGCGCCAGAAATCCACAAAACTCACAACTTTCGACTATTAAAAGATAGAGTTTTAACTGAGTATAGAAATTTTTCAATAATGGCATTTTTAAAAGCGAACATTTATATCTTTCAACACTCAATTTATCCGGTTTTACCCGATAAAATGAGTGTTGAAATGTCTGATGAGATATTGAAGTAATATAAATATATTTTGCGGACACATTTTTACACTACGTTCTCAAGTCCCAAACTAAGTAACGTACATTTTTACATATAATGTACATATAAACACCCAGACACTGTAAAAACATTATGTTCACCACACAATATTTTTCCAGTGGTAGGAATCGAACCCACACTCCCTGGCGCAAGATGCAGGTTCACTACTGTCCACGCCAATCGGGTCATCATATGGACGTGGTGAGTACAAATACTCGGTGATGGGGTCGTTTAATTTACAGAGCATTTGTATAAGGTATTATAAAATTTTGCCAATTAGAATATCATAATTTATATGCTCTGTAATGATGTGTTGTTTTTATTTCGTTATTACATCTTTTTAACGAGGGTTTGGTTTGTCTGATACTTTCTTAATTATATAAGTCGTTAAACGAGAAATGTGTTACTGAATTTTTGAAAAAAAAAAAAAAAACTTCTTTTAAATATATCAACTAAACTTTGAGTGTTTTTATTTAAAAGCGCGACAGCTCTACAAATGTGCTTACTTAAATTAGTGTGTTGACAATAATGTTTAATGTTAAAATTAGTTCTCGTGAACAGTCCGGGATGCGGGTGAAGGACTGCGTAATGTTCACTATAATGCCACGGCGAGAAATATAGCGTGTATTTGGCTGGCTGAGAATGTTGTTTCGTGAAAAAAAATGGGGAAGGTCTTCTTAATCATGCTCCTATTGCGATCTCGCCGAGCGATCGCGCAGTAAACTGCATCTCGGGTGCCAACGCAATAAGCGCTGTGTCTTCATGAATGTCTCGCAGCTAGACCCGTTAATTTGTTACCTGTCTATTTGAATTGTCGTTTCGCGAGTTGATGACCAATGTGTGGATGGTAAACGCTGCAATTGAGGAAGTCTTGAAGTCAGCTCGAAGTATTTTAGATTATTATGTTGCAACATATAGTTCAACATCAACATAGTTAATACAACATCGGATACAGTTTTGGTGAAGACGGTGGCTTTATAATGTAGAAGACGAGTTGCTGGTATTTGAATATAGAAGGTGTTTACTTACGTTCCGCAATTTATTTTAGTCGGGTAATAACATTGAGTAATAGTGAAGATTCAAATTTCGCCAGGCATTTATTCAATTGTCGTTATACTTTTAACTCTCGAAAATCTTTTGATTTTTTTTTTACCAATTTTGTACTTACCATTTTCAGACCGATAGAATAGGACGTGAAAAGGTAGCCCATTTAGTTTACATGTTTTTAATCTTTGTATTTTATACGCTTTGTCCTTAAGTCTGTCCCCTGTCTGTGTAAGCCCTGTGTATGCGTGTTGTAAGTTATGGATTAACAGTGAAACTCTACACTTCCCCGTTGCTTCCTGTAAGAGTAGAAAAGACAATAGCGGTAGTGGCTGGAATAAGTAATTGCATATGAAAATAAGTCGCTACAATCGCCAACTAACGTCCGCCGTTTTTTCGTAACGGGCGTCATTAAAGCGTCCCTTAGCGCGACGGTGGCGGGGGGGGGGGGGGGGGGGGTGTTTACAAAAGAAACCACAATAATACCGAATCCCGCAGACAATGAACACTTGCACTTATTACTTCCCGCGGCCGAATCCGACGCCTCCGCGGCCACTAACATGCAAATGCGCCTCGGCTGCTCCCTTAACTGCAACTGCGCGTTGTTTGTCGGCCAAATTAAAAACATGCTGAGCTCTCGGCCGACGATTGTCATGCAAATCGTCGCCACCTCGGCCCGAGGGGCGGACGGCCGGAGGGGAGGGGAATCGGCGCTCTTACGGGGGATTTTATAATACACTTTTTATTCGGAGTTAAGTGTCGCGGTTGCCGGGGTCGGAGGAATGACGCGCCGGGGTGGGCGGCTCCCGGAGATGACGTTATTATTTATGTTAATTTCGAATGCTAAATGGCGTCTTACGTGCTTGGGGCACCTTTCAAGTTGGTCGTTAAGCACAGGGTTAGCTGTTTACTCTCAATTGATTGTAAAATTTTCATGCTGGTGATGATGCACTACCCGACACTTCAACCTCTTCTGTTTGTGTCTCATTGTTAACCCTACCATATGTAATTCTTTAAAAGTCGGATTGCTGATTAGTTGTGTTTTAAAACAGTTACAGTAGTAAGTTCTAGGTTAATATGTATTCTGTGTTCATTTGGGAGACAATAGTCAATAATTTAGCTACGATAAAACAATGCGAGGACCTAATAATCATTTAATAGCTATAAAGATAAAACTCGAACTTTCCAAAATTGAAATTGAGATGAACTTGGACATTCGTAAGTAAAACGGAAACACTAGGGTTGAGCGGCTCGGCAACCGTCGCATAGGCAGCCCTGTGTGCAACGCAACATTTCCGCGAGTCACCGCCTCAATCGTGGCACTCTGCATAATGTCTATTTTAGTGGCGGGGGCATTTTTCAAAACGCCCGCCCTAATGAGTCGTGAACGGCGCTGATGGTGTGTAATGCGCGAAGGTGGCTCGAGCCATTTGCCGCGCGTTCGCACGTCGCTAGATTTATCGCTTGCGCTAAGTGAACGCGATCGCTTCTTGCCCCCGCCAGCTCCGCTGCTCAGGTTGGCTATTACCGCTTGAAATCGGAGGGAAAATTACCGGTGCCGTTGCGAAAAATGCTCCATTGTAGATCGTACTAAAAGCTGTCGGCGTTTCGAGGAAAATCTTGCTAGAACAATGTCGGTATAAATTCGGCTGAATCTAGATGAGTTCAAATACTTTTGTCCAATGGATGACATCAGTTATTCTTCCGCGGTGACGGGGAATATCGGAACGTAGCCTACACATTTTTGTATGAAAAATATTTCGAGGATATTGAAAGTTCTAGAAAGGAATGAAGAACAAATTTTAAAGTTCCCTATAAAATTTCTTCTTCAATCTCTTGATAGCGGTAAAATGTGTATGTCACAGGCTGTTAATTTACTTTGAGGATTTCAGAAACAGTATTAGTAGACTGTGACGAGTTTTTTACCACAGCTAAGTGCTCCTATGTGCCCGCAGAAAGTACATGTCCATAAATAACCGGGGAAACTTTCAAACACGAAATGATCTCGTTTGGCGACTTGGAAACTTTCCGGGGACTTAACAAGGTGGCCGACGGTTCGGGCCCGGGATCCGGGATCCGGGATTTTCGGAGAGAAAGCCGCGATAAATCCCGCGCACGGACTCGGAGCGGCGTGGAACTTAGTAAATTGTGCATTTACAATTCGCCTCATACTTGGCCGGATGAGCGGCGGTTGGACGCTAAACTGTAATTTATGAGGCGTACGCACTCCTCCGCTCCGTGTATCCGACGCGTCCGCGGGAAAATGTTGAGATTTAAATATGCACGTAGGCTTTGTAATGTCGTGGAAGGAAGGAAGACTCGTTTTTATACTGATCGTCTGTATAGCGGAGCATTGACGAGCATTATCCGTCGAATAAGTTTGAATTAATGGAAATCGGTTGAGTCTGTACTGCCGGAAGTTCTCTGTATTACATATAATAATTTTATTTTTACAGAATTAGTGCGCAATCAAGATCTAATAATGTCTATGATAAATAATAGAAATTTTAATTTTTGCTGCGTAGCCGATATACTGGATATGACATACTAGCTTCTGGTATATCAAATGAGACTGCATTGATGAAGTAAGCTTAAGATTTTTTTTAATTTTCGATGAAGTAATAGTGAACCCCACAGCAGTATTTTATTGTTCAGTGATAAAGAGCTTATGCAGTAAAAAGAGTAGAAACTTATTTATAAATTCTGAATTCATTCCCATAAATAACTAAAAGAAAAAGTATAGTGTACTGCTTAGAGTCATGGGATGCGGTCAATCAACTAGATTACAGGAAGATTGTCTTTTGATAATGGTAATTAAATATCCATCGATAAAAAACATTTTCTCTCGCCACAGGATCACAGAAGCATTAACATTCCATTACATAAAGGTGGTGCATCGCTCACGTACATTTGTTGCTTTATTATAGAGTATTATATAGTCTTTAAATAGACTCCGGACGCAGGTTGGCCGGAGCAAGGAAGATATGTTTAGGTGGGGACTCTTTGGGAGCCCAGACCTTGGACCTGGGGATTATGTGTGTAGAGCGGTGCAGTCCATGGCTCATCTGGTGTCCTGTCCTGCCTGCCCTTCCACCTGTTCGCAGCAGGATTTGATGGACGCCTCGAACTGTGCAGTCGAAGTGGCCAAGTTCTGGGCCGGAAAAATTATATTTCATCAATTAAATTGTCATCGACACGCAAAAAAAAAGATAGAGGAACAGGAAAATAAGTAAATAGTACCTGTTAGAACGAGATCATCTTCGCTTATGAGTATTCTAACAATAGAAACTAGAGGCTTTATAGCTAAGTATAAAATTTTATATTCACAAAGAGATATTACAAATCTATCTCTACAGATTATTTCTCAAAGGTTTTATTATTTTATTGTTGGTACGCCATAGCATCCTTCATTCTTCATGAAATTTACAAACAATTAGAATAAAGTCAATATTTTCATTAAAAAAAAAAAAAAAACATTCGCCAATTATTTATGTGTATGGTACACATGGCACATATGTATATGATGACTATTTGCTCAGATGAAAGATTGTGAATTATACTGAAAAACGTTATTCTTCAAAATAAGATATCTGTAAAACCATTCGTAGATGTAAAATTTTGCACGTGTCGAATAGTTTCTATAGAACATTAATATTTTTATTTACCTAGCTACATGTTAAATTATCAGGATTGAAATTTTAATCTGCATGAATTACAACATCCAAAACTAGAGGGTCAGCTGTACAACGGTAGAGTGGTAGATTGTTTAGCAAATAACAGCAGTTCCATATCGTTGTATCTATAAAGCGAGAACACGCCATAAAACATTTCGTATATACATATGCTCGATGTATGCTAATTGGCTTTAAATTTTGTATTATACGAGACTTTGTGACTTTAAAAGCCGTGCCGTAGTCCTGCAAGGTGTGTCGTATGTTTACAGTGAGGATCCTCGCGCCGGCCGTAAAACTGGCGTAAACACCCGGTTCCGCTCGCCTGCGTCCACCTGTCGGTAACTCCACAAAGCACACCGGATTATTATTTCAAGGTACGAACGCGATAAACGTCACGCGGGAATTAATAATGGATAGATCCTATTAATAGGGGCGAGGAAGTTTCGCTGTGTTAATGAGAACCGAACGGGAAATTAATTTCAAAGGTGTTGCAAAAGCTGTGAGAGAGTTTACAGCTTTTTTCTCTTTAATGTCTGTATCGTCATCATCAACGGCAGTCTGCTGTTGAAGTTAGGCATCTTCTCAAGTAAGCCACTAATTCCATTTTCAGATTTTAAACAGGCTCTTGTAAAATATGATTAATTATTTATGTATACAATGTAGTTGAATAAATAGCGATTCAAATTGTGTTTTTTACTCGGTTAAGAATAGAGTCAAAATGGATGCACACCGCCAAAGGAGTGTAAGTAAAGTTGTTTTAGGTTGAAATGTATAAAATGCAGATGGAGTTGCAAGTTTCCCTCGAAGGACACCGAAGTTGTACAAACAAGCGCTTCATAAATATTTACACAGTATCCGGCAATTTTTTGTGAAGCCACCGCGGTCCGCCACCTTGTCACCGTTTATTTGTCCGGAGATCGTCCTTAGCCGCCTTGCCTAAATTTAATTGTACAGAAGTTCCTCCATTTTGTTCCGAATTTTGCTAATCCACATGGAAGTCTTTACAAGATTTATCACAAACGTTAATGTTCACTGGTATTAAAAAGCGAACGTTAGTTGCAAAGGAATAGAACAATAATCATAAAATAGTAACTGTGAAGGTAATAATGCCATTCTAAAGTAACAACTCATAAATTGGTACGTTATAACACAGGTTATGATAATATTGTACACTATACAATCTTATGATTATAGAAAAACACAAAACATTCTGATTTTTTATCCACTTCAGTTGGAACGAAGTGTGAAGATTGCGAAGAACTTACAAGAAATCAATTCGTACAACTTAAATTTACATTAAAGCTTTATTTATAACGATACCATTAACAAATGTTTAATGGTAAAAGTAATATTCATCATTGCCTTTTAAGGTTAAACCTTTTATCATTTCACTCAACATATGACAATATAAGGTATATAAACGGCGCCATAACGGTACCCTGCGGCATTCCTTCATTTACTTTATTGTCTATAAAAAGAGAATTGTGAACTACGTATCATACATTAATATTTTTTGGCTCTAAAAACGCTACATTGTGTATTGGCTAAAACAAAAAAAAAGCTCCAACAACGACTGTTAGGTGAAAACTATAGCCCCTTAATTCACCAACTTTTCCAAACACCCGATAGTTGTTGCTCGTTTTATTGCTGTACTGTTTGGTAAGTTTCGTTAGTGGAACAACACATTATGTGTCTCGGAGCCACTTAGCATAAGTAGCGAGTTCACCTGCAAGAGAACAAGAGTCGTTACATAAATAATAACACGACACAACACTGTGTTTGCCTCGCGATACTTCGCATAAAAATATATCGGCATCGCGCATTATTCATGCGACAATGTCCCGAGTAGGAAAACAGTCGACTTATGGGATCGGGGAGAGTGAATGTTAGAAGGAAAGAAGTATGGGTACTTACCGTAACAGACCATTTGTGTAATGATATGAGTTCGGTTAAATTCCACGTGTGCAGCGGATCGAAATGAGACGTTGGAACCGTTTAAATTATCATTTTAAATTAGATTTTTATTTCTAAAACCATTAGTTACACATACAACTTATATTGTATTTAATTTGTGGAAAAAGTAAATCGTACCTTAAAAAGTATGGAATTTAATTTTATAAAAACCACTTAGTGCGGTATTATTTCATTGTATTTATTAGTTATGTTTGCAGTAAGATATTTGGATATAATATCAGAAGCTTCTGTCTGTTTTACGATATGTAAAAATTTTATTTATCGTTCAAATTTTTTATGAAATAATTACATATTATAAAGTGAAAGATGGAATTGTTTGTAAAATTACGAAAGTATTAACAAGAATTAGATGGAGGGTCATCTAATAACTAGTATTAGCACTCATTAACGTCTCAGCTACATATGAATTATATTGTTAGATTTTTGTAATGCTGTTATAGATTAATAGAATCAAATATATTATTATTGATATTTGATTGTAAGATAGCTCACACTCAAAAGAGCCGTTATAGCTCAGTGTCCGGGCGCTCGCCTTTAATTCAATATACTCGATCAACCTGAGTTGGATCCCCGGTGCCGGCACCAATGAAGTTTTTAACTTTAAGTGCTGACTTATCACGTGCTCCGCGGTGAAGGAAAACATCGTGAGGAAACCTGCATATTTTTGAAATAATAAGAAAAAAAATATTTCGAAGATATGTGAAGTCCGCCATTCCGCAGTGGGGCCGCGTGGTGGACTATGCCCTGATACCCTCTGTATATAGGAGGCCTTTGCCCAGCAGTGGGATATGTATAGGCTGTTACTTATTTTTTTTATTGTGAGATTGAATAGTTATGCATATAAATTCTTAAGGTAAATACATGGTAAAACAAGAATTAAAGTTCAAATTAAACTGCATTTAGCGTTCATTGCTCAAGTTGAAGACACTTAAGTAAGAATCAATGATTCTTGGTCTATATGCAGGCAGACCTGCAGTTTATTCGAATATTATATTTATTATTGCTTTAGAAAATGTATATCATTTATTTTTTTGAATCGACTCTTTTTATGATCTGTACAAGTATATATACAAAAAGTTCAAGCTTTGTTGCCTGGAAACAGTCAAGGACATTCTTGTGTAACAGTTGTATTGAAACTTGTGTTTGTAAATGATTAATGGACATTTGCCTATTGTTTGTTTGTTCATATTCCTTATGCTTTATTTGGCATTGCTTTTCCTTCTTTATCGCTGCGATTTAGTCATTTTATGGGCATGATATTTATTAGACTTAGTGTCGATATTTTGTTAAAGAACAATATAAGATGGGCCTTTTTTCACTCCGCTCGATGAATGAATTAAGAAGTAACCAAAAGCAAAAATTCGGTAGCTTCGTTACGGTAGTTTTTAAAGCAGGATAATAACGCAGCTGCTTTGGTTCATAATCAAGGATGGTAGCGATGTCCTTGATTTTGAATAGAGTTTTTTTTTTCAGTTTTTTTACTTAACAGATGTCAAGAAATAAGATTAAGAATAATAAGTTT